GCAACTCTTCCATCACCACAGCAATGCCCTGATATCCAAGAAGTCTACAGATGACTTTAAAGTGGGGGGGACCAACAAAATTCCTGTAGTTGCTGTAAATGCTGGAATATGCCAAATTCAATGCCTAAAACAAGAAAACAGATATGATTAATGAAAATTTTGTCTGCCTTTATCTCAATAATAATGTAATTTAAATATCATTTTAAAGCACATTAACACTGAAATAAAAACTTTGTATCTCACTGTCTCTGAAAGTTTTAAATACACAGTTTCTCTTCTGGCAGTTTCTCTTAAGGCAGGAACTTCAACAAAAATCTATCAGCACGAAAAATTAGTGAGCACTTTTTTTTCAAGCAGACATCTTCTGTTTATCATTTATAAAGCCACAAATACTTTCTCTTTTGTACTTTTCTATTTACACAAGCATAAAAGGGTAAAAGTAGCCAATGCCATGTCCAGATCCCTGAATTTTAAGCACAGCTTCTGTTGCTCCATCTTCCATTTTATGTGCAAAACATCTTGAAAGAAATTAATTTAATTTTCTGTTCATAATAGGTGTTTTAAGTCTCTGAGTACTCAACTACAAAAAAAAAAAAGCCTTCTGCAACTAATTAATAAGGATCTTTCTTTTTCAAAACCCCTTGCTGTACACAAGATCAAAGCAAATCTAAGTTTGGGATCCAACGTCATAGAAATTCTTCAAGACATGTATAAATAGGACCAGGTGCTTTGCCATAGTCATGTTTACTTCCATGAAAGTGAACACAGCTGTACAGACTGATGTGATGTGAGGATTTAGGAACTGGTTGCTGAAGCTGCAGATTAGAGAGGGTTGGCTAACTTAGCATCCTCCATTTCTGCAAGTGGGTTGTTCTCCTAATACCCTGAAATTTAATTTTAGCAGGAATCTTGGCCACCTTTCTTACAGACGGGACTGTTGTGTTTCCTTCAGTTTTTGAAGTTTCATTCTGTCTAATGGAAAACAGCACACTGTTAAACTTTCAACTTCACACACAGCTGTAACAGAAGATTTTCCAGGAAGAACATTCCCTTCAATGCAGATCCTGCCCTAACTACCCATGCAAGTCAACACCAGATATTGTGAACACACGGCATTAAGCTAGTTGGAATTCAATTTAGAAAATGCTACCAAGCTCTTGAAGGATTTTATTCTCATAAAAGGACTTAAAAATCATCTTTTGACGCAATCAGAATAGAATATGCACGTTTTTATTTATGTTGTATGTCTCTATATAAACATCAGCTTCCAACTGAGGCCTTAGAAACTTTAAAATTCTAAATGCAAACTAAAATAGACACTTGTATAACTATTAGAACCCTAGTACATAACACAGTCCTGCTGTTACGTCAGAGCTGGCTAAAAGGCCAAATTCCAAATGTGTCCCACCAGGGGACAGCCTAAAGCTGTATCCCTCCAGTACAACCTGTGCATTTCCATAGCTCTCCACATACAAAAATGAGGTCTGGGCCAAAGACAGCACACATAACTGGTAAAACCTTAAGAACATACGTGCAGCTGAATGTCCTGATAAACTAAGGATTTATACAATTGCCCCTAAAATATGAGATTTCATTTTTTGGTTTTGATGTTTCCAATTATGTAGGTCTCCTACAACAGACATGTCAAAACTATGTATTTCAGCTACAGCACTAGGAGAATTTTCTTTGACTGGGTTAAAGCATTTTACTGCCATGAGATTAAGGGGAGGGAACCTCTCTTCACACAGCAGGAATTTGTCATAGTAAAGCAAGACCCAAAAATATGATTTTGGTATTTAAAATACTTGCCGATACATAACAATAAGAAGCCAGCCAATCTAAAAATATATCTCCCATATAAAACTCATGGGGAAGTACCTAAAATTTACAATCCACTTGTAAATGTTGGATTAGTGGATCTTTCTAAACCGTAACAAGGAATTTAGAAAAAAACATTACACACCAACACCACTTCCCCCCCCCAGTGAGACAAAAGCATAAAATCCTTAAGGAAGAAGCCACTAAGTAGAGGGGGGTGGAGGTGGAAAGGGAGGGAAGGGAAGTTGCTGCTCATTATTTTTTAAGCTATACTTGCTCCCTCCCCTACTTAAATTTAAAAAAAAAAAAGGAAAGAGTTGTTAGTTGCTGATGTCATCAAAGTGCTAACATTAATCACTCACAGCATCACTGGTCCACACACGAGTATATAACAGGGATGCTCAGGCAGCATACTGCCAAGGGGAGGCAAGCAACAGAGGGGGGAAAAGACACTATTTTCTTCTCCTGTGTGGTCTTTGAAAAGCAAGGCAACAGTATCTTTAGACAAGATGTGCTCTTGCAGGAATTTAAGTGGAAGAGACAAAGAAACCTTGCTACCAGCAGCATCAGAGAAAAAAACTGAAATCACCAAGCAATGAGAATTCAGTCCAGAGAAGCTGAGGAGAAGAAAAAGCAAATTGGCAAACAGAGATCAGTCAGGAAATTATTCATGTAGAAAGGGATACAAAAAATGTGGTGTTTGTAACATTTTCACAGCAGCATTGCCATAACGAAATTCTGTTCTGGAATTTCCATCAGGGAGCAACGGTAAGTACTGACTTTATGATCCATAAAACATTAGATGGCTTCTCCAAACATTTACATGTCAGCAATTGTGTGTTTTCTAATAACTGATGGTTTGTAGCAACAGAAATGTATTATTGTTATTTAATTACAGTTCTTTCTACTTACAAAATGCTATGAGGATTAAACTGTTGAAGCTATTGTTCCTAGGCTGTGTTAAAAAGTGTTCTATAAAAAATAGTTTATAATTCTAAGTAACAGTTAAAGAGAAGGTAAGTGAGCAAGTAAAAACTCTGATCTCACTAATGCACTCTATTTAAATATCTGCAGTAGCTGGGTAGATGCCAAAATGTGTCTGTTTGGTAAGTTTATCTGATTGCAAATTCATTTCCTTTATATTGTTGCTGTATTAAAAAGGGTGCCTTTACCACAGAATTAGAAAGCAGCATCTACCCAGATCAGTCATATCCATGGTTTTACATTGTCATGAAAATAAACATATATATTTTTCTTCCCACTTCCCAGTAAGTATAATTGAAAAGCCTTGAGCAACAATTTTCATACATAAACAGGCACAGAATTCTTACTGTTAATGTAATGTTACTACTAAATACCATTTTAAAAAATCCCATAAAATATACATTTTCTCAGTCTCCTATCTAGTATAAAATACAAGTATTACAGAATAATTTTAGAATATGTTATGAGCAAATCTCACAAGCCTTCTTCCTTAGGAGAATTTTTAATAATTAATTGTTATTTAGCCAGGAAATGTAACATTTTAAACTTGATCTTAAAAAAATATATTAGATTTAATTTTCACAACAAAGTCATAAACAATGAAATACAATGTTACTGTCATGGGCATTTATAGTCATAAAAAAGTGAGAAACTTTCAAAGTGGAAAAAAAACTTCCACGAGTGCCACTGGAAACTGACAATCAAACTAAGGGATCAGAATCAATTGCTGAGGTAAGCTCTTTTTCAAAAGTTACCATCACAACAGTAAAAGCATAAAACCAAAGCCAAACAAATGAAAATACCCACTGGCTGTTATTATATATTCTTTAACAGATGTGTTTAGAGAAATTGCAGAAAAGAGAAGCTTTCCTTTCACTATTTACAGTGGCTACACATACTGAGAATCTCAAAATACTGGCAGATTTTCTAATTTGAATTGAGGACGAGGAGGAGTATAAATTCAGGGCACAGAGACTATGGGATTACATAAAATGACTTAAAACAGCAAAGAGCATTAGTAATTTTTTAAAATCCCCACTATTTATCCAAAAGGTAGGCTATAGTGTATTTCACTAGGCTTGACAAAGCTTTTCCAAGAGGCTGACTAGCATCAAGGCTCAAGTTTGTGATACTGATACCACCGATGTACAGTGTTCACAGCCACTGCCGCAGTGTAGCTGCAGTGGCTACAGATGTGCAACTTAACAGCAAAACACAGAGAGTCTCACAGAGTCACTGAACAGTCTGGCTTGGAAGGGACCTTAAAGATCACCTAGTTCCAACACTACTGCCACAGGCAGGAATACCTTCCACAGCTTCTCTGGACAACCAATTCCAGTGCCTCACTGCCCTCACAGCAAAGAATTTCTTTGTAATATCCAATTTAAATACATCCTCTTTAAGCGTAAAGTCATTCCTCCTCGTCCTATCAATATTTGCCTGTATAAAAAGCCCCTCTCCAGCTGTATTGCTGTATCTAGATACCAGAAGGTGCTGTAAGATCTCCCTGGAGCCTTCTCTTCTCCAGGCTGAACAGCCCCAATTCTCTCAGCCTGTCTTCATAGGGAAGGTGTTCCTATGTGAACTTGTGAATAAGAAACTAACATAAGATATTAGAGACAAAAGAATATGTGGTCACATTTCCACGTACTCTTTTGTTCTTCAACTAATTGTGACCAGCAAAAATAAAGACTTGTGGATGGCAGAGACACTTATTCCTCAATATCCACTCCTGCCAACCCCTGTTGCCGCTTAGCATAAAGTGCAAGATACACAGACTAGAGAAAAAAACATCTGCTGCATTTTTTTACAATCACCTAGGGGAAAAAAAAAGTGAAAGGAAGTGATTGTAAATGGTAAATTCTGCAAAAATTCACCATCTCTCAAGATACAACAGGTCACTTCTACAGGCAGCAGTTCTGATTGAATTTCTCTAAGTTTATCTTTACACTTTCACTTGGAAGAGAAATACACATTTTAAAACACTCCAGACTTTATGAATTTTCATTCCCATTTTTACACTGCAGAGCCAAAGATGAGAGCATACTTTCCTAACAAACTCCGTTCCTATATTACAGAGCACTACTATTAAGATTCAAACAACATCCTCAGTGCTGCAGCTTCTCCGAAGAACATCTTCCCTTTCCACAGGGAGATCAGCATCAAGAGAGAAAAAAACCCTCCCAAATAACATCCTGATGGGAATAACCATCCAAAACATCACAGGAAACACCGCAATGGTAATTTGGCCAAAAATGGCCAGTTGTGTTGACAGCTTTTACAGCATCATGTACCACCCTAACTGGAACAGCATGCTGTCCAGCTACTCCAGAAAGAGCTTTCAGAGGGAAGAGAGGGTGCCCACCACTCGCTCCTCCTTTGTTGTTGAAAACCTGACCCCCCTCACAACATACATCATGTGTGTGACCTGCCAGTCCGCAAACCCCTCCAGCGACCAGTGCAGAGTGTTCAACACACTGGAACGAGACCCAGCGTCGGCGAGCAACACCAAGAAAGAGCTGGCACTGGGCATCTGGCTCACCAGCAGCGTGCTGCTGCTCATCATCGCCGCAGTCCTGCTCTACGGCTGCCTGCACCTGCTGTGCCGCAGGAGACACGAGCGCTTGCAAGAGCGCAACAGGACCTCCAAACAAGAGCGTGAGGAGCCATGGACCAAAAGCGTGGCACACACCTCAGATGAGTTCAGCAGGCAGAGCCAGCAGACACAGGACACTGAGGAAAAGCATTCACACGGCATCCAGCTGGCCACAATCATAGAGAATCCCTCAGTGTGCAATGAGCCCATGATGCCATCTTCTAAAAGTCAGGAACGAGTCCCAGTAACAGGACAGTGCTCTGCTATAAATTAGAAATGTTTTGTCCAGAAGGTTTTTGCCACCTGAGGTACCCCAGCTACTTCAAAGACATTAGATGCACTGTTGGTGCTCACAACAGGGAGTTCTGACGGCTCACTGCAGCACTCCTGGCTGTATCTCTAGTTTCACAACTCTTTCAAACAGCCTGTATGCAAATGTTCACATGCCCAAGAAGCGAGCACTTCACCCACCCTCCATTATTTAAACATTAAGCATGTAGCAAGTAATTGGTTTACATTTTAAGAAGATCTTTTTGTTGCTTTTCTTTAGCCTAAAACAGCAAACAAATATAAAAAGTAACCAAAAGTGACCAAAAAACTTTTTGTTAACTAGCATGAATAAACCTGAGTAGGAGTTTTCAGACGGCAACCCAGACTGCTACACTATTGGCAATTGCAACATACACACAGAGTGCAGTGGTTTGCCAGAGTTATACCCTGGTAATCCCAGCTGCTTCCCAAAACACACACTACAAGCAGTACTATACTCAGACAACACACTTCACTGCCCATGGTGTTGTCCATCCCTCCCATCTGCACAGAGGTCAGTCTCAGAACGTAAGATAAAATCACCAGGATTTTAATTGTTTCCTCTCATCTGTCTTATTTTCCCTCAGTCTAAATATATGCAAGATAGAGACTCAGTAAGGACACGTCTAATTAAGGAAATATCCTGGGTTATTGCATTTTGCACTCTTCTGTTCCCACCACAAGCTACCTTCTGCTCCATGGGCCAGAGACTCCCTGCAGAGGAAATGGAATTCAGAGATGCAGCTCCTAGCCCTTCCTTTTCTCTTTCCCTTTCAGTTTTAATAATAACATGCATTAATCAGCTGCAAATTTCCTTTCAATTGCACAGAACATTCTGTGTAATGAAGGGGGGCAAAATAATAAAAACATGCCAAAATGCATTTTATTTTCGTAGCAAGAAAACCTGCTGATCACGTCACTCTGCCTTGAGCTTCATGGCAAAGTGCCAAGGTCCTTTGGACAGAAATCTGTTCACCCTCCCAACGTGACAAGTGTTGTCTGATTTACCTGTGTAAGTCACCCTGTTTTAAACTTCTTAAGCGCATTTGTGTTCCATATAAACATAATAAATCTTAGTATGGCTGTATATTATGACTAAAAAAACAAGGTGCACTGTGACTGCAGGCACTCAATTGCTCTTGGTATGAATGTATGTGTGAAGTCAGCTCTCTCTGACACAGCTGGGTTGTACCAGTGATGGCTGGAGAGCTGCTGGCTGGGCAGCTGCCACCCCCCTCCACCCTGGAAGGTAAGGAGGGGTACAATTTTGGCAAGAGAGCTCCCCATGAATATCTCACAGCAGGTAGCGGAGCTTTTCAGCTACTCTATTTTGACAACAATTCCCACGACTTGTGAAATGCATTGACTCTGAGTGCTAAGGAGAAGCTGGCATAAGTGTGATGAATCTTCTTTACTCTTTTTTTTTTTTTTTGAGTAGGACAAGCATGACACACAGAGCACTTGCTGAACGGGGGCGAGTATGACTTTCAGAGAACACTTCAAAAGGCATTTTTATTGTGTGAAGTTAGCAATAATGTGTTCTCCACCTGCTGCAGAGCACTTCCTCCAGCTGACACATTTTCCTTTGTCTTGCACGTCAGTCTCAAATAAACTGTGAGAATAACAGTTCACTGCTGTTTCAAATGACGGTGTTACATGAAACAGGCACTGAAAAACCCTCATCAGAGCATGAAGCCAACACAACAGGTTAAGTGCCATAAGGGGTGCCTGGCTGGTGAGGACAGAAAAAATGCTTCAAAATTATCTTGTAATGAAATTAACAATAACACTTCTCTGGTTAGGTTTCCATCAAGAAAATATTATTTTAATATTAATGGGATGAGGCCAAGAGACACACTGTCAATCTCTGCCAACATCCTGGGCTCTTGAAAACTTGTTTACTTCTCTGCATGTCCATTTCTTTATGTGGGTTTTAAGGCAGTCCAATACATATATAGACACATACTTATGTTATACACACATGCACATGCCACACTGAGAACAAGGAGCAGTTCTGCTTAAAGCAGTTTCGAGGCAATTCACCTACTGCATTTTGTTATTTATACACAAACACATATAACCAAAAGACATGCCTATATCCAACTGAGAAGGCAAAGAGCTACCGTGGTAGTGCTTCCCAAGGGATTTACCTTCTCTAAATATAAAACCATTCCACCCACAGAGTTTACTGTGCACTACTAAGATAAACATTTATATCATCTCACAAGCAATGGACCATCTCGCACCTGCTGCAAATGAGCAATTCATGCAGAGTGTCATCTGTTTTCTGCTCTGTTTTGAAAAACTCATGTCATCACATGCTCACAGAGCTACATGATTCTTTGTTTCTTGCTGAGAAAGTTTTATTACAGATTAATTCAGGTTCATTCAGGCAATTCTGTAATAGATTTGGTAATTCTCCACTCAACAGTCATTTGAGTATGGGGCAAATATTCGAAGTGATTACCACACTGATAACAGGCTGCAACATAGTGCAGACTGCCTTTAATTTGTGCACCAGCAGTAGATAAAATTCATTATATTCACAGTGAGAAGTACCCTTCAAACATGTATTGTTCACAGAATAAAGGAGTGAGCATCTACAAAGTGGTGGAGACATAAAAACATGACAATATTTGGAAAATGTTGTATAAGACAGAAAGAAAGCCCTTCAATTCTGGTCTACACAACCTCTATAAAACCAAGTATTTAACAGAGAGTTAGTTCAAATTCCCAGAAAAGATACTTTCTTATATGTATATTATAAAATATTTAATGCATTCACCCAATGTTGCTGAATTCCAACCTGCTAACATTAATATCAATAATACTACACATACTCTACTTGAGTAAAGGGATTTCATGCTCAACCAAACTTTTAAAATAATCCAGCTCACTTAAAAGGCAAACGAGCTGTTGTAGGCTGGCTCCTTCCCACCTGACAGCTCTGCTTCCATATCAACCAGAAGAAGGAAGTTGTATCTGTGGGTTTTTGTTTTGCTAATTACATGAAGATACTACTCAGAAAACTTTAGGTGCTAAAGAGAATGTTACTACAACTCTCTATGCTAAGTATCAAGACACATTAATACAGACCAGATGCTTTGATCCATTTAGAAATATCTGAGAATATGTGAATGTTTTGAGATACAAACAAAAAATTTCTTTAGTTACTCCTGTAGTAGTGCAGCCTCTGTAATGTAAGAATTCCTTCTGTTACTGGCTGTATAAAGTAGAAATATTAAAAACTCCATTCAGATATACTCAATTTCAAAATACATTCAATTCAAGAATAAAAATATACTCTTGTTAAAATTTAAAATTAGATAGAATCATAAGTATTTTCTAATAAAGGCCCATCTAGTTATGAAATTTGCCCCAAAAATGCAAGTAAGACCCCCTCCCCTTGATTGCTGCTGCTCATATAGAAAAATAATCAAGAATTCTGAAAATGTATAGCTCTCAGTGTGAAGACTACTAAACTCATTTTAATAATGTAACCTGACTGAAAAAAAGTATTCCCCAGTTAATCTTCTGTCACTCACCCCACTGTATCATCACTTAGATAAATTAAGTTAGCAATCTCTATGAAATTCAGGTTTTAGCTCTACGCTGCATCTGGTCACTTATTAAAATAGCAAGGAACACAATAACTGCAATGTAAGAAAATTCCACTTTCCTATACGTTACTGCTCATTTTTGGAGAGCAATTACATAAAACACTATTTACAGGAGCAGACAGTCAGTTGCTACATTCCACATTAAGACATGTGAATCCTTTTCTACCTCCTTTACATTTTAAGGGCATGAAACTTTTACAAATGCAGCAGATATTTTAGCACTGAAATTTGTAACTCCTGAGTTATCTCAAAACCTAGATTACTGGGTTAAAATTGCACCATACAACTATGATATGATGTGCAGAAAATAAGAGTTCATGCTTAAGTAGGAGGTAGATATTGAGAGCAGCCACCCACACCAATTACAGCACATCTGCATAAATTAGATGTAGAATTAAATATATCTTTTAAATAATTTTAAATAATAATAAATAATTTTAAGCTTTTTTATTGTCCATCCTGTAATTTAACCATTACATTTTCATTTATCTTTTCCATACTTCAGCTTGCCACCCTCATAGACCAGAAAACATTGCAAAATTTAGAGTGACACCTTGTCATATAGTTCCAAATGATTTGCTGAAGATAGCATTGTTGGTTTTTACTGCTGTTTGAAGTAGATCAATATTTCTGACTAGATATTAAAAATGCAAATATATGTTAATGTACTATGTCTTTAACTGTCATTAAGACACAAGCAATAAATGTGAAGAATAAGAAAATAAATCTGTAGTGATCAGGGAGAACAAATCTATCACACATGAGCATAGCATTGGTCCTGTGACTACAGGCTACTTGGGTAGCCTACAGCTGTTCTCTTGTGTCAAGTACTCTTCCCACTTGTCACCCACACAAGCTCCTGTCCAACCTCAGTATTGGGAATTGCCACAGGGACAGAGCATGTGAGCACACCACATACCCTTCTACTGAAAACTTGCACAAACCTTCCCAGCCTACCTAACTGCAAACAGGAAATATGATGGTAATAGAAAGATGATATGGCCAAGACACCAAGTTCATCACAATGAGTTTGCAGCTCTGGGGTTGTAGAGTCCAAAGAAACATTACATAAAAAAAAATAATTGAAATAGTTAGGTATCTGATAGTTTAAGATTGTCAGAATCTATATTCCTCTTAAGGCAGATAACATCTGAAGCAGTTTTTCTACCTATTCCCTTTTCTCCTGTCATCACAGTCTTCATCACTGGAACAAGGGAGGGCTGCATCCAAGATGGGCTCTTGTTCTCAGTTCACCAGATGAGTAATTAATGAGTAATTAACCTTTACTTTGAGTCTACTCTGCCACTGTTAGCAACTGAACAATGCAAGGTGGTTAAGAGAAGGGCTTATTTTTAGCTTTGTCAGATAAGACCACACATCAGACTAACCAATTGCACTTTGGCTGAAACATATGGTGAGCTTCAAGCAAAATCTTTAAATAAGTGTATGTCCAATTTAAAATGCACACAAAATATATTTCAGTCTATTTCTAATGACTTTCACATACTATAGTTTCTATAATTT